GGCCCTCTCAGTGTAGTTATAGTGATACTCTGTTCTCTATACCTCCTTATGAGGAGAGAGAGGCTCTCTGAGGCTGGTGTGTGCGTGCATGTATGTGTCCATGCGTGTGTGTGTTCATGTGTGTGTTTTCGCATGTCTGTGTGTGTGTCTGTGCGAATGATGTGTGTGTTAATAAAACCTGAGGCCTACTAACTCACAAACTCTCTCTGCCTCCTTACAGTGATATTGCCCTAGTTTATCTGCCAAGACATGTCTTTGTAATCTGATCTCACACGCTAAAACAGTTTCTCTACCCCAGACTTCACACAGATGTTTCCTGCCTGCCTCTTCCAGAGCCCTCTCGGACTCCCAGCTGTAAAATGGCGGCTCGGCTGCACCTCACTGCACCTTGTCTGAAGACAATCAAAAGTACACTGGTTATTTACAGATCAATCAGCCACTGGTGTTGTGCAGTTCTGTGTGTAACTCACTGCATTAGTAACTAACACATCCTGTTTTTTTAGAACTTCACACTTCCCTTTTCTTATCGCTCTTCCTCTTTTTAGTCACTTCTCTGTGAAGCTCTTTATTTATTTCAAGGCAGCGAAGCGTTTTTGAATTCAAAGCATTTCCCAACGAACTCTGAGAGTGCAACTCAGAGATGTGGTGGCGCAAACTTTGTGAGTGACGTGGTTTTTGATGTACCCCCTTGTATCTGACAAGGTTTTTGTCACTCCAGAATCTTCCAACAGCGAGCACAATCTGCACCTCAAGCTACGTGGCAAACTTCATTTGAATGTTCAAAGTGTCAACGCCTTGTTTCTTTCGTCTGGCAGCTGTCAGAAACCTTGGTGTGTGACAGACAGTATCAAGCGCTGGGGGAAAGTCAAAACCACCAGCACAATCTAAAGACTATATATAGATGAAATGTTGTCATTTTAAGAGAATGGAAGGAGAAAAACTAAAAAGACTTCTGCTTCTCTCAGGAGCTTCAAAATGGAGTCTAACGCTTCATCAGGAACAACAAAAAACTTATATTTTCCTTTTAAAAGAGGGTGGAGATGAAACCGATGTCTCTGTGTGGAAAGTCAGATTGTTCCTCTCTGTCATTCTCAGTCTCTGATGGATGCTTTGGAGAACAGGAGCTAAGGTTTGATCAACCAATGTCTTCAAAGGTTGCTTACATCTGTGTGATCGGCGAAGAGCCTCTTTAAAGGCCTCCTCTCCTCATGTCCCTCCATCCACCTGTCTAAAGACAAACAGGCCTTTACAGTACAGAGAGGGATTCAGAAAGAGAGAGATGAAGCGAGGGAGCGATAAAGAGATTAGATATAAAACAGCCTGTGAGAAACAGAACTGAAAGAAAGAGTGATACTTCCATATTCAGCTGGAGTGTTCGATGTGATCCTTCAGTCAACTCGAGAGATTCAGTGAATTTCAATTCACTATCGCTCACCTGCTATCACTAACCTGAGCCCCAGACTGCTTACCATCCCAGATCCCACCGCTGCCACCAAATGTCGCAGTTGAAATGTCCATATGTGTTGAATGAGATTCCACAAGTGGGAAAATAGTTCAGTAGGACCTTTGTCTGACCTACTGTAGTGTAGCATCTATGTCTGGGTTAGCATAACTAGCGTTTGTTAGCCACAACAAAAATGGCTGCTCTGCCTCTCTCCACACCCGCACATTGCCCAGTTAACCAGGACAACCAACGCCTTGGTGAGACATACGTTAAGCTTATAATCGCTAAAGCTTTGTCTCCAAGGCACTCCCCAGTTGTTTATAGATCAGTGTATATGATCTGTGTATGTATCTACCCATCCTCAGGCCTATGAGAAGCATAGTAGGAAACTGTATTATGAAATATATATATTTTTTACATGAATCAGACTTTTGTTAATGAACTCTCTTTTCAAACAGGCAGTACATACAGCTCACATCTTACCTAGTGGGAATTAAGCACTGCAGGGTTCAGCTAATGGGCGCCACTCGGCTAAGTCCACCTGCAGCCATTACATTACATTACATAGCATTCCAGCTGCAGAGCAGATCCTCTATAATGTGATGTAGAGCTCTTTGTGTCTGTCCTACAGTACAACGCCCAGGCTAATGATGATCTAATACAGCTGGCCTCGACGTCATTAGGCTGGCGGCCAGGTAGACTTCTATTATACAGTATACCCTCTCTCTGTCAGACGAGAAAAGTGAAGGGTAATGTCTTACCCCCTATGAGATCTCTGTCTCGCTCAACCCCTCTTCCTTTGTTGCTTTCTTATCTCTATTTCTCGTTTCTACCTTCTTACCTCTTCTCCTCGTCATCCTCTCTCTACTCTCCTTTCATTCGTTCTCTCTCTCTCTCTCTTCCTCTCTCTCGCTATCGCTCTCTCCTCATTCTCTCATTTTCTCCTCTCTCCCTCTCATCTTTCTTCTCTCGTCTCCTCTTCTTCTCTCTCCGCTCTCGCTTCTCTCTCTCTCGATCCTCTTCATCTCTCTCATCCTCTCCTCTCACTTCGCTAGCTTTCATCTCATCCTCTCTCTCCGCTCGAGCTCATCTCTCCTTCCCTCCATCTCTCTCTCATCTTCCTCTCTCTGCTCTCTCATCTTCTCTTCGCTCCGTATCATCTCTTTCTCTCTTCATTCTCTTCTCCCCATTCTCTCTTCCATCCTTCTCTCTCTCTCATCTCTCGCGCCTCCTCTTCGCTTCTAATTCTGTCTTTCTCTCTCTATCCTCTCTCTCTCTCCTCTGACTTCTCATTCTTTTTTTCTTCTCTCTCTCTCTATCATCCCTCTCTCTCTCTTGCTTCTCATTCTTTCTCTCTCTTTCTCCCCCCTCTCTAGTACTCATAGTTACGAAAGCAAACATTCATGGCATGTCTACTTTGATTAGCCTCAAGCCTGTGAGTATAGGCTCCAATCCTCCCTGCAGTGTAGCCCGGTGAATACTAGTTACCCTGAATCTGATCTATGGGATGGAAAACGGAGATGGAGTTGTCAGGAGGGAGCTAGTCATTTAGATTGAAGTGTGTATATCCCTTACTACTGTGGTAACTTAAATACAGCACTGTACGTACTGTACATGCATTAAGAATGCAGCCAAGGAACTTGAATGGAAAGTCTTTCAAAGAATCCCAATACTTTTACATTGGAATGTGGCTTATGAGGAGATTTGACCGTTGTTTGTTGGTTTGGTGTTTGGTCTTGAGTGTTTTGTCTGGGCACCATCTTGTTATGACTGCCTCCCTCTCTGGGGTTCTACCCTTTTTTTAACTTGTTGGCACCCCAAATTACAGCCTGTAAAACATTTATTTTTTTGCATTTGTTTGAAAATGTTCATTCTCAAATTACTCGTGGCTCCCTTTCTCACGGAGGAAAGAAAAAAAAGTACATTGATAGACTTTCTCTCCTGATGATGTTATTGGCCCGACACTTTTAAATGAGGCGGGAGGGAGAACATTTTTGGCAAAGTGGCAAAGGCCTAATCTACTGCAAACTGTGCTGAGACAAACAGAGCTGTTCAGTGGTGGGATCATTTATACTCTCCCCCTTTGAAGTGCGTCCCAATCCCTTCCATTGTTCCCTGAAAGATTCATTACAGAAAGACAGATCAATCAGTTAAATCCACAACAGGAAAATTATTTTTGGAAAACCAATTTTCTACTACTCTCTTTCTCTCTCTCTCTCTCTCTCTCTCTCTCTCTCTCTGTCCCTCTCCTACTCTTTAGAAGGGAATATCTAAAGAAAAATAAAGAGGAAAGAGTTATTTTTAACAATAACTGGACTTCGGCATGCTAAAGACCTCATGGTAGGAATAGTTTGGGGCTCTCCCTAGTTATCAATCAATCAATCAAATGTCTTTATAAATACCTTTTTCCATCAGCAGATGTCACAAAGTGCTTATACAGAAACCCAGCCTAAAACCCCAAACAGCAAGCAATGCAGATGTAGAAGCACGGTGGCTATGAAAAACTCCCTAGAAAGGCAGGAACCTAGAAAGAAACCTAGAGAGGAACCAGGCTCTGAGGGGTGGCCAGTCCTCTTCTACCCACAGAGAATGTAGTCACTCTGCGACCTGACCAGGCCCTAGTTTTAAACTATTACAGGCCAGAGTTCTTCCTGGTCAGTTCACATGGTCAGGGAAAAACTCCGGTAGATTCCACAAGCACCAACTCCATACCAAACCTCTCAGTTTGTCATTACAGCATGTCTGCCTACTGAACGTACAGTACATTCACTGTGTGTGTTTGTGGGCATGGAGGAATGGCTAACCAAACGTTTTAAGCTTTGTAATCAGACTATGGTTTTCTCCAGTGTAATTTAGCTCCAGACAGCCCTCTCTGTGCCCCACATAGGGAGGGCTGATGTGTTTGATGTGTTCTGTCTGTTCTCTCAAACCCAGCTGGGCCTGGGTCTAAAAGTCAAGGGTGGTCAATTCCAGTCCTGGAGGGCGGAAGTGAGTGTAGGCTCGAGCCCAGCTTTATTAAGACACCTGATTCAGATAATTATGGTCTCTAAAATGAAGATGGTGATTAGTTCATTTGAATTAGGTGTGTTTGTGCTGAGCTGGAACAAAAACCTGCACCTACTGCATACCCTAAGGGCTACGCTGAGTTGGCCACGTGGTCTGTGGTGACCGTGATCTTTTTACTAGCCAATAGGGGGCGATGTGTGTATAATTACTCTTTGGTCAATTAATAGACGCTCTTGTCCAGAGCCACTTACAATAAGTGTATTGAACCACATCCTCTCTTTCTATGGCTTTGAAGTAGTCTGATTCCCTCCTATTGCGACAAGGTAAAAATCTGTCGTTCTGCCCCCGGGCGCCGATGACGTGGATGTCGATTAAGGCAGCCCCCTGCCCCTCTCTGATTCAGAGGGGTTGGGTTAAATGCGGAAGACACATTTCAGTTGAATGCATTCAGTTGTACAACTGAACAGGTATCCCCCTTTCCTTCTCCCTATTCCTCCTCCTCTCCCTCTCACTGCAGGTCACGCTGGTACTTCAGGAGTGTGAGATGAAAATGAAAGGGCTGATGCCAGCTGAGCTGCGACAGGAGCTGGAGGACACTATCTCCTCTCTCAAGTCTCAGGTAGGAACAAGACCTGCATGGGGCACTATACACAGGACACACTCAGCCTATATCTAACTCACCAAATTCAACTAATCCACATATCAACTAACTATCAAAATCTTGGTTAGTTGATTCATGTGTTAGTGACCTAGAGTTGTTGACCCCTGATCTATATGCAGTAATACAGACAGAGGTCCCTGTACCTGGGCAATACACTCCATACATCTCAACTTATAGACCTGCTTTCCTTTTCAGTGTTTCTTCAGATACCAACTATGAACAGTTTTCCTTTGCTGCCATTTTCTTATTTTCTGCTTTCCTCCCTCTCTCTACATATTGATAGAAACCATCCGAGACTGAACCCACACACGGTCTGTTTGTTTGATTCCTTGGCCGTGACGAGGGGGTATCATATGGTGGTGTAGACCAGACAGCAGAGCCCATAGACATGGCTTTGGACCGGTCCACTTTGAAGCTCCCTCTCTTTCTCTAGGCTCCATCAGATCAGACACAATTACACCCCGCGTTTAACCACATTAATACCGCCGTCAAGGGCGCCGCTCCCCACCCAGCCACCGCGGACAGTCTCCTATTAGTTTAACTGGGCCTTGTTCGACATGAAACTATGGGTGCGCAGCGGGAGGGAGGGGAATTTCTGCCCAACATTTAGAATGTAAACAATAGGCCTTTCTGTGTCGGGGGGTGTGGTGGGGGGGGCTGAGGGAGAGGGGGCCCCACTAACCAACCAACAACAACATTTGAAGGGGGCCCGCGCTTCTAAACTCAAACTGGCCCCAACGCCTGGCTGCTTTGGATAGCTCCGGATGGATCTCTTTCCAGTCCTGCCGCCACAAGCCTCTGCCAACGGATATGTTTATACGATGTAATTCACGACCAGAACGGCCTCCCTTTTCATTGAGGATGTCTTGGGTTTTGCACATTACGACGCATTATTTTTACTGAAAGAACAGCGACTCCATGGCATCCGACCGCAGTTCCGTTTTTGTTTGCATACTGATGCTGTTACTCCTCTGAAAGCAGCAGCGCTCCAAATGAAACGCTAAATCTGTTCCTGAGGTTTCCATCCAAGAGAATGGAATGTACCATTGAGTTCCAGGACAGTAGTTACACATCAGAGACTATTATAACCCTTTTGTTTCAGTTGATCTAAAGAGAAGGATTTTGATTTGATTTGGAACACAGTAGTATGGACAGTGCCTATAGAAAGTGCACACCCCCTTTCAAACTTTTCACCTTTTGTTGCCTTATAGCCTGTAGTAAAATGCATTCAAATAGTTGTTTTTCTCTATTGATCTACACATCCTACCCCATAACCTCCATGTGAAAAAAATATTCTGAATCTTTATAGAAAATCGATACAAAATAAAAACTGAAATAGCTTGGTTGTATAAATCTCCACCCCTTTGTAATAGCGATCCTAAATTAGCTCAGGTGTAACCAATCACCTTCAAAATCACACACAAGTTAATTGGCCTCCACCTGTGTTACATTTCAGGATAAATTCAGCAGTTCCTGTAGGTTCTCTCTGCTGTGCAGTGATTTGCGAAGCAAACACTCAACCATGAGCACCAAGGAGTTTTCAAAAGAACTCTGGGACAAAGTTGTGGAAAGGCACAGATCGGGGGATGGGTATACAAAAAAGTATTTGAATATCCCTTGGAGCACTGTCAAGACGATTATTAAGAAGTGGAAGGTGTATGGCACCACCAAGACCCTGCCTAAATCAGGCCGTCCCTCCAAACTGGATGACCGAGCAAGTAGGAGACTGATCAGAGTCCAATGGCAACTTTGAAAGAGCTACAGGCTTTTATGGCCAAGACTGGTCAAAGTGTGCATGTGACAACAATATCCCAAGCACTCCACAAATCTGCCATATAGGGTGGCAAGAAGGAAGCCATTATTCAAGAAAGTCCACCTGTTTTGAAATATGCAAAAAAAAGATTTGGAAGATTCTGTAGCCATGTGGCAAAACGTTTTGTGATCTGACGAAACAAAAATGTAACTTTTTGGCCTAAATGCAAAGCGTTACTTTTGGCGCAAACCCAATATGGCACATCACCCAAAGAACACCGTCCCTACTGTGAAGCATGGTGGTGGTAGCATCATGTTATGGGGATGTTTCTCTAAGGGGAAATGAATGGGGCAATGTACAGAAAAGTCCTTGAGGAAAACCTGCTACCCTCTGCAAGAAAGCTGAAACTGGGATTGAAGTTCCCCTTTTCAGCATGACAACGACCCGAAGCACACAGCCAAAGCTACAGTGGAGTGATGAAGGAATAAAAAGGTAAATGTCCTTGAGTGGCCCAGTCAGAGCCCCCACCTAAATCCAATTGAAAATTGTGGCATGACTTGAAGATTGCTGTCCATCAATGCTCCCAAAGGAACTTGACAGAGATTGAACAGTTTTGTAAAGAAGAATGGTGAAATATTGCCAAATCTAGGTGTGCAAAGTTGGTTGAGACCTATCCCAACAGACTCAGCTGTAATTGCTGCCAAAGGTGCTTCCACCAACTATTAACTCAGGGGGGTGGAGACATGTCCAATTATGATATTTCAGTTTTGTATTTTTTATATATCCTTTTTTTTTTCACTATAGAAAAAAATATCCTTAAGTGTGGAGTATGGTGTGTAGATATTTTTTGACATAACAAAATGTGAAAAAAGTTCAAGGGGGTGTAGACTTTCTATAGGCACTGTATGTAGTTAAGGCCTGGTACTGCCTAGTCTAACCCTTTGGAAGTTAACTCTTTCACTGTCCCCCTAAAGTAGCAGTGGACTATCTGTACTGGCCCCATGTCTTGTATTCTCATGGTTTCACAACTGTATCAAAATCCTAACCTCTCACCTATAATCTCACTCAGTCACCTTACTCCCTAGCCCCCTACTCCCCTATGAATTGCTCCCTTCTCCTTCAACCCCTACTCCCCCCTACTCTCCTAGGCTTGCCCCCTATTGCCTTAACCCTTATTCCCCTAACCTTTCCTTTCTCAACCCCTTCTCCTCTATCGCTTTTCTATCTCAACCCCTTCTCAATAACACTCTACTCCTATACCCTCTTACTGAGCCCCTACTGTGCATTGACCCCTGACCCCCGACTGTGTGTGTTGACCCCTTACTGTGTGTTGGCTGCAGGTGAACTTCCTCCAGAAGAGAGCTTCTGTGTTACAGGAGGACCTGGATGCCTGTCACAGCAGGAGGTAAATGTCCTGTAACGTGACTGTGATCGAGGCCTGGCGGTTGAAGCCTTTGATGTCCCGTCCATCAATCATGCTGTCAGAGACACTGGACGTGTTTATGGAAAGCATCTATACATACCCTGTGATAAAGAGTGGCCATTCAAATAGTCTGCTACTCCCACCTGGGATGATGCTGCTCCTGTATCAACAGTATGTGATATTTCTTGGTGAACATAGGCAGGGTTGGAGTCACTCAAATTAGACCACCCAAACCCAACTCAGTCATTTCATTTACTACATTGATTTGACAGGGACAATGCACATCAATCAATATTTCTGTAAATGTGCCAGATTTTGCCAGCTGGCTAGTTTCCATCTGTAGTCCCGGGCAGGTAGTCAAAACTGAATCTTCTCTATCCTCTTTGGGTAATAAAATAGACTGTTGAGAGATGTGAAGTTCATGAAACATTATGACGTGTGCTTAAACAACCCCTCCCTTTTCTCTCCTGTCCTAAACCCCTCCCCTCTCCCAATCCAGGTTACCATGAACTGTTCTTCCCTTGGCCACACCCATTATCCGGACATGAAGGATATGACGCCCTATCAGATGTGAGAATCATCGCCACAGTTACCAGGCATCACACATCTGTCATGCCATGGGAGCACCAATCAGCTGTGCCAGTTATGTTGACCACACCCACACTGTTGTGTCTATCACAATTTTTAACCACTATGGATTTTTACATATTTATTTACTGTCAGATTTTTTGTTCACATTCCCTGTTAGAAATCAATCATTTTTGTGGATGTTTAATGTACGTACTATCCATACATACACTATATATACAAAATTATGTGGACACCCCTTGAAATCAGTAGATTCTGCTATTTCAGCCACAACCGTTGCTGGCAGGTGTATAAAATCGAGCACACCGCCATGCAATCTCCATAGACAAACATTGGCAGTAGAATGGCCTTAGTGATGTTCAACAAGTCAGTTTGTCAAATGTCTGCCCTGCTAGAGCTGCCCCGGTCAACTGTAAATGCTGTTATTGTGAAGTGGAAAGATCTAGGAGCAACAACTGCTCAGCCACGAAGTGGTAGGCCACACAAGCTCCCAGAATGGGACTCTCCTCGGTTGCAACACTCACTACCGAGTTCCAAACTGCCTCTGGAAGCAACGTCAGCACAATAATTGTTAGTTGGGAGCTTCATGAAATGGGTTTACATGGTCGAGCAGCCACACACAAACCTAAGATCACCATGCGCAATGCCAAGCGTCGGCTGGAGTGGTGTAAAGCTCGCCACCATCTTGCAGTCCGACGGACGAATTTGGTTTGGCGGATGCCAGAAGAATGCTACCTGCTCCAATGCATAGTGCCAACTGTAAAGTTTGGTGGAGGAAGAATAATGGTCTGGGGCTGTTGTTCATGGTTCAGGCTCCTTAGTTCCAGTGAAGTGAAATCTTATCTTAGTGCTACAGCATACATTCTAGACAATTCTGTGCTTCCAACTTTGTGGCAACAGTTTGGTGAAGACCCTTTCCTGTTTCAGCATGACAATGCCCCCATGCACAAAGCGAGGTCCATACAGAAATGGTTTGTCGAGATCGGTGTGGAAGAACTTGACAGGCCTGCACAGAGCTCTGACCTCAACCCCATCGAACACCTTTGGGATGAATTGGAATGCTGACTGCGAGCCAGGCCTAATCGCCCAACATCAATCAATGCCCGACCTCACTAATGCTGTTGTGGCTGAATGGAAGCAAGTCCCCGCAGCAAAGTTCCAACAGCTAGTGGAAAGCCTTCCCAGAAGACTGGAGGCTGTTGTAGCAACAAAGGGAGGACCAACTCCATATTAATTCCCATGATTTTGGAATGAGATGTTTGACAAGCAGGTGTCCACATACTTTTGGTCATGTAGTGTATGTTGTTTTTTTGTGATTCCATATGACATGCTTCAAAATCAAGTTTGATACTGAATGTACATACCGAATGCATTGTTTTATTAAAGTACTTTTTTCATCATATTAATTTGTTTGATTTCAATTGACACATAATTTCTCATCTTAAAACAGTGTTTGATCCCATATTTAATAAAAATATTGTATTATTTTTGAGTTGACACATAACCTCAGCTTGCGACCAAGTGAGATCTACTCTTTACGACCAAGCCAGAGACCTTGAATCTTCATTGCTCCCATTGGAGCATGGCGGACATTTTCTATTCTAAACAGTAGTTCTGTTGTATTGGGGGTTTGTGGTTGGTGCAGATAGACCTCTGGTAGTATTGGTAGAACATCCAGCCAAACAGAACAGTAGTTTAGTACTGTTTCTGATTTCACAGTAGCATGACATGACTCTGGCTGATACCATTGTCACCACTGGAAACCATGATCTCCTCAGACGTTCCTGTCCATTAAATGGCTGCCATTTGTGGCATTGCTGTATTTAAGCAGTCTCACCTAGTCAAATAAAATAACAATGGTTTTGAATAACATGAAAACAACTAGCACTATTACTACTTTTTCAAACTCCCGTCACAAGTAGATGCTTTGAGATTTAAGAATAAGGATTGTGCAAGCGCAATATTTTGTGAACAGACACAGCGTAAACATTGCTACTGCATAGTGGGTTTGATTGATTTCCAGGCCAAGTCTCAGATGCCTGCGGAGCGAGGCTGGTAAGGATGATAACCTGTGTGTGTGTGTGTGTGTGTGTGTGTGTTTAGGGAGAGGCCAGTGTAGGTTACCACTCTTATTACATATCATATTATGCTGGTCAAGGAGGAATGCATTGGTTTCAATGCTGGCCGGTTCAAGGGAATCCTCATTTCCTGGAAGAAGACGGGTTAGGTTTGAGGCATTATTATGATGTTCCAAAACAGAAGATTTGATTTCAAACAAGCCCTGCGTCCCCATTTGCATTGGAATTGCTTTTCTTGTACGCGTGCTGTTGCGCACTTCCTCAAAATTTCCATTGTCCATGACCTGCTCTGCGGTTTCCAAGTGTAACACTACACCACTCCGTATTTATTTTATGTGCTGATTCTGCTGCCTGGGCAGAGAGAGACTTTCAGACCGAAAGGAACAGGAATTTAGTCTTTGGGCACCAAGCCTTTGTAGATCTGTTGTTTGTGGAAGGAGGGCACGGGGGACTCTCATTCCACAACCTTTGCATCCTAAGACAGTGGTTCCCAACCAGGGGTACTAGGACCGCTGGGGGGTACTTGGCCTGTCCACAGGGGGTACTTGAGAAGACTCATGAGACCATTGGCTTACTGGTAAAATGCACATGAGGGGTACTCCAGGCAGAGCAAAATTCAGTTGGTGTAGAGTAACCGAAAAAGGTTGGGAACCACTGTCCTAAGAGAACGTGTGTGACCCTTCTGTATGAGATGTGCTAGCAGAGAAGGTGGGGTTAATGGGTGGTTGGAGGTTAGGGGTGTGTTTGTGGGAAGAGTGGAGTCAATGGTTTTGGATGTGAAGGTGTGTGTGTGTGTGTTTGGGTTGTCTGAATGAGCTCAGCTTTAGGGTGTGTGTGTGTTGATAACTCAGGCTTTGCATGAGGCACAGGCTGGAGCATTGGAGCTAAAGGTCAGAGGAGGAAGTGACCGTCTGTACTTCCTGTTCTCCTGTTGGAGGCGTGGCCCGATTAGCTCATTTACATTTAGGATGCATCTCAATAGTCTAAAGTAACTTTGATCTACATTGATGTGAATGGACTAGACAGGTGTCAAATTACTGATAGACATTCCACCATATTATCTTATGTCATACTGTGTTCCAACAAGTCACTTCAGACTGTTGAGATGCCAAGAATGTACTCCTTTATATCTATCTGTACATAAAAGAACTGAGAGAACCTTTATGACACTTCTTCCACACAGCCAACCCAACTGCATAGATGAAAGGTCTTCCTCCTTTCCTCCCTCCTCCTCTCTGTGTTATCTCCCCATCAGAGACAGAGGGAGTGCCGACACCGTGACATCATAAAAGGGAGACAGGCATGTTCCACTGTCCCAGAGTTCCGTATCCCTCCGCATGGTGGCACAGAACCGAAGCACACCCAGGCAATCCCAAAGAAAGTGTGTGCTGGGGATTTGTTAGTTCCAAATCCATGAAGCACAAGGGTATTGAGTGATGTGCAATTTCTGTTTTGGGATATGGTCTCTGGGATGGAGAAAGGTCATAGGGGTACTGTTTAGGGAATTGCAAGGTGATTTGAGGTTGAGTTGTCTTGCTGTCCTGCTAGTATAGTTTGTGGGTTATGCATGGTGATGTGTGGAAGTCTGCTGTCTCTGCTCTCTCTTCTTCTGTATTGACACCTCTGATTGACTGTGTTTGTGTACACGTGTGCGTGTGTGTGTGTACGACTGTGTGTGTGTGTGTGTGTGTACGACTGTGTGTGTGGTGTGTGTACAACTATGTGTGTGTGTTAACACGCTAGTAAAGTCAGTGGATCTTTTTATAGAGTTGTTTTCTGACTTAGTCCCCGGGAGACCTGTGTTTGGCTGCACCACTCTACACAAACTGCCTGCATAAATAACCCTGTTTATCACTACAGCATCTCCTCTCACACACACAAACACACACACACACACACACACAGCAGCGTCTCCTCACTCTTTATCTCCTCACTATTTATTTATTCTGTGTTTCCCGTCATGTTTTTTCTCTACTCCATTTCTAGAGGTTGATATGGCGCTGATTGCTGATGTTGATGGCAAACAGTGTTGCTCGTTTTTTCCAGGCCGTCACTCAACTCCTGAGTGGTCCCTGAGTTGCAGTGATGCTGATACGGTAACCGCCTGAGAGGCCCACACACACACACATACACACGAGGCCGGGGATGGCTGTTAGACACTGGGATAGATAGCAGCTAGCTGGGGTGTCTGAGTGACATGGGATCAATGGGCTCAGTTCATTTGTGTGATTGCAGGATGGAGTTTTGTCAGGGCTGATAGTGTGAGGTGAAGTGAGGCCCAGAACGGAACACTGTGCAGGGCGCTAGTATAGTTCCTCTCTACTCCACTCTATTCCACTCAACTCCACCAGGCCAGACCTGCACAGAAAGGTCTGGTTCCAGTCAAGTCTTGGATTGAGATGTCTGATTATCAGTCGCTTATGCTTGTACAGATCTGTCTGTCTCTCTGTCGGTCTCTCTCTTTTCTTTCTCTCTGTATCTCTCTTTCTCCCTCTCTGTACCTATCGCTGTCTGTCTCTATCTCTCTCTTCCTCCCTCCTCCCTCCTCCCTCTGTCTGTCTTACCCTCCAGCATTACACTTGGTATGAACTTAAAATGTACCTCAACACACTCATCATATATTTATAGACACACCACATTTTTATCAGCCCAGACAGTCTACGACTAGGCATGGCTAATACATGTTTTAAAGGAGTCATTAATTTGTGTAATAATGCTATGAAATACCTTAGCTAGTATTATACTGAATATGAGAGTATGGGTATAGAAGTCTAGGCCTAGTATGAGACTTTAAACTAAACCCTTGGTGGCCTGTCCCCTCTCAACCTTCAGGCCATAAAACTAAACCCTTGGTGGCCTGTCGCTCTCAACCTTCAGGCCGTTAAACTAAACCCTTGGTGACCTGTCCCCTCTCAACCTTCAGGCTGTTAAACTAAACCTTTGGTGGCCTGTCCCCTCTCAACCTTGTGGTCCTCTGTAGCTCAGCTGGTATGCACGCATGACTGTAAGTCGCTTTGGATAAAAGCGTCTGCTAAATGGCATATTATTATTATTATTATTATTATAACCTTCAGGCCATAAAACTAAACCCTTGGTGGCCTGTCCCCTCTCAACCTTCAGGCTGTTAAACTAAACCCTTTGTGGCCTGTCCCCTCTCAACCTTCAGGCCATTAAACTAAAGCCTTTGTGGCCTGTTCCCTGTCAACCTTCAGGCCATTAAACTAAAGCCTTTGTGGCCTGTTCCCTGTCAACCTTCAGGCCATTAAACTAAAGCCTTTGTGGCCTGTTCCCTGTCAACCTTCAGGTTGTGTTTCCACATCAGACTATGGTCCACCATCACCATGGTGATAATCCTGACCACAGTAGTGGAGAAACAGGAAGCAGAAAGTGGATCTATCTGAGAGGTAGCTATTAGAAAGGACAAATTTGTGACATTGTTCATATTCCAATGCACGTTTGTTTAGGGTTAGAGATATCCTTAGAGTGAGGGTTAAGGTCAGATTTGTGGTCACAGCGTTCCATACTTCTGCCCTTTCTCGCAGTCCAGATATGGATGTCTGTCTGCGATCAACCACACATTTTATTGTAGTGAACACCTCAGAAAGTGCTGTAGGCTTACATTCTGTCCTTACCAGCATGGCCAAATAGTGACACCCTCTCTGAAACGTGTCTCCATCAGCCCTCAACCCCAGAGAGAGGGTCAGAGCAAGAGAGGCAGTAAGAGGAAATGAAAGTCATTAGAGAGGAGAGCTTCATGGCCCAAATGGGATTTGACTGTGCATCCCACATTGTTTCTATACATTGGTAGACTTAAAAGCCATGCACAACATGGGATTAAAAATGGGTGGAAAAGACCAATAAATAACCTTCAATAATAACCTCTCTTTTTTTCCCGAGGCCTACTTCTTTTCTTTCACTTTCTTTCTTCTCCCCCTCTCTCCCTCTCTCTTTCATTATCTCTTCTCTCTCTCTCTCGCTCCTCTACCCAGCCTCACCATTTCTCACACTGTCACTCCTCATCAGAATGCACTGGTTACTGTTGAACTCCTATACTCCCACACTACAGCTGCCGCTGTGCCACCACAATCCTTCAGAGGCTATTTGGGGTTGAAATTAAAGTATATTTTCCTAAAATTGAACCTTTTAACAAGACACGCTCTTCTCTCCTCCTCCCTTCCAAACAGCCACATAACAAGCTGGTGAATTGTTGCCCTTCTCATTCTAAGGGTATTAGGCACCATGTCCAACTTCAAAGCCTCTCTTAACTCCACACTTTAATTGTCTGCTCTCCCGGCTCTCTCACAGCATGCCATCTGATTCTGCTGACAACTGCACTTCTCCTTCTCCTCCTTTCATTCCATCTACTTTTCCCCCTCTTGCCCTCCTCTCCTCTGTCCCCCTGTTGTCCAATCCTTCCATCTCTTCTTCCCTTCCTCTGCCCCCCTGTTGCTGTTGTCTGTTCCTTCCATCTCTCTTCCTCTCCTCTCACCCCCTGTCATCCTCTCTCTCTTTCCCCCTCTCCTGGCTCCTTTAAAGGCATTGTCCCTCTGTTGTCACCTCTTTAAAGGAGGGAGCCACCATTTCCTCTTTGGAGTTTTGTTGCCTCTGGTGTGTACACACCAAACAAATTAGAAACAGTAAACCCATGTCCTCTCTGTCTCTCTCTCACTCTATCCCCCCACCTTCTCTCCAAACGGACATTCACACTTCCTTGGACATTCACACTTCCTTGTACTCACGGGCCCTAGTTGATAATTGCCATAAGCCTCCCTCTTGGTTTCATTTTCCATTGTCCTCCCCAAAATTCTTGGGTCTGGCTTGAGATAAAGGGATGATGACTTCAAAGGGAGCTGCTAAGAGTTTAACCCCTAGCTGAAAGGAGCAGCAGACAATAGGATAATTGAGAGCAGTTACTGATCACAGGGCTACAGCACTGAGAGGAGAGGGCAACAAGCACACACACACACAGTGACACACTTCACACTGATTTCCACACTCAGACACTCACATACTCTCATACTCACACACACACACTCTCTCTCTCTCTCTATTAAGTGTGGAGTTTACAGCAGCAGCTGAGGTGGCCGGTAGCTAGCATGGAGAGGACAGGTCAGAGCTGTTCAGGATACAATATACCCCCAGCCATAAAAGCACCAAAACATCAGGGGTAGCTAACCCTGCCCCTGCTCCTCTCCCCTGTTATGTATATTTTTATAGGGCCAGGGCAGAATAGGGTCAGTAGGGCCAGGGCAGAATAGGGATCAGTAGGGCAGAGGATAGAGGGTCAGTAGGGCCAGGGCAGAATAGAGGTCAGTAGGGCCAGGGCAGAATAGGGGTCAGTAGGGCCAGGGCAGAATAGGGGTCAGTAGGGCCAGGGCAGAATAGAGGTCAGTAGGGCCAGGGCAGAATAGAGGTCAGTAGGGCCAGGGCAGAATAGGGGTCAGTAGGGCCAGGGCAGAATAGAGGTCAGTAGGGCCAGGGCAGAATAGAGGTCAGTAGGGCCAGGGCAGAAAAGGGGTCAGTAGGGCCAGGGCAGAAAAGGGGTCAGTAGGGCCAGGGTAGAATAGGGGTCAGTAGGGGCAGTGCATAATAGGGGTCAGTAGGGGCAGAATAGAGGTCAGTAGGGGCAGAATAGGGGTCAGTAGGGCCAGGGCAGAATAGAGGTCAGTAGGGGCAGAATAGGGATCAGTAGGGCCAGGGCAGAATAGAGGTCAGTAGGGGCAGAAAAGGGGTCAGTAGGGCCAGGGCAGAATAGGGGTCAGTAGGGGCAGAATAGGGGTCAGTAGGGGCAGAATAGAGGTCAGTAGGGCCAGGGCAGAATAGAGGTCAGTAGGGCCAGGGCAGAAAAGGGGTCAGTAGGGCCAGGGCAGAATAGGGGTCAGTAGGGGCAGAATAGGGGTCAGTAGGGGCAGAATAGGGGTCAGTAGGGGCAGAATAGGGGTCAGTAGGGGCAGAATAGAGGTCAGTAGGGCCATGGCAGAATAGAGGTCAGTCTCAGTAGGTGGAGGCTGAGGTGTCCTCGAAGGGGGCCCTGCCATATCAAAGGCCCAACTGGCCCCTGGCAGCAGTAGGAGGTATAGGGGCTATTTCCATGGGGATGGGGTTTTACCTCTGTGCATTTACTGTCAGAGGTCCCCCCCCCCCTGCATGGATATCCAAATAAACACTGACCTGGTCAGCCATCTTGTTCAAAGACTAGTTTACAGTGTACTTAGTAGCTCTACTAATCACTGTATGGAGTCCCAGAGGGGACAAACAAGGCAGTCTTATAAAGTAACATCCAGATGTCCTTGACACCACTGTCTGCCACAGACAAAAACAGGCCCCACAGCTGCCTGCGCCAATCAATGAGTGCATTATGGGTAAAATGGCTGGGTTGTCTACTACGGGCCTTCTTCTCTTCATCAGCTCATCACATACTCCTCCTCCTCCCCCCTTTTTGTGGTGTAAAAAGCCAGACATTGTTATCATTGATATAAAAGGATGCCTCGTGTGCCAGGATTGTAGAGCAAATGGGACACTAATAGAAAGGAGATGATTGATTATTATTTTTTTGATTAAAAGGAGAAGCGGTTGTACTCTGCGGTCCTCTCTATCCATATGATATAGCCTAGCTATTAATCCTACATTCAGACTGATGGAAAGATTTCTCTATTGTGAGATCAACATGATAGTTTTAAACAGAGGTATTTTCAAGCTGTAAAACAGACTCATATTTTCAGTTATGATTGTGTAACATTTTAGTCGTTTAGCAGACTCTCTTATCCAGAGCGACTTTCAGTTAGTGAGTGCATAATTTTTTTTTCATAATGGTCCCCCGTGGGAAACGAACCCACAACCCTGGCGTTGCAAACGCCATGCTCTACCAACTGAGCTACACGGTAAGGCAGTTGTTCTAAGCGAATTAGACGTTAAGAAATGATATTATTCAATAATCAATGGGTTATAATATATGGTTAATTGTAATGAACATAGAATAGCAGTAACTATTGCAGATTGCACCTTTAATAACCCCTGTGTATATCATACATTTACCCAACCTGGCCACATGAAGGAGCTGTGGAAAAATGTATTTCAATGTGCTGGTGAGATGTGTCATACATGCATTTCAACTCCACATGGCATCTATAGATTATGTCGTTTTTATTTGTTCATTTGACATTTTAGAATTACCCTGGGGAAATTGTATACCAGATTAGATAGCTAACACAACGTTGTGTCTTTTGCGCATCCCATAGATAGAAATGGGTTAATCAGGAAACTATTCGAGTCCTTAAAAGAAAAGAGCCCTGTGTCTTTAAAGTTTATGTAGCAACAGAGGGATTGCAGGGATAATGCTATTGGGGCGGCAGATCAGTTACTTCTGACGTTCCAAAGCCTCCGGGAGTTGGCTCAAGATTTCTTGTCTTTGATAAGGTCCTAGAAACTTTGTTGTAACTTTGTAATCTGTAAAAACGCCGGTAAAAGTTATTATAATGTTTTTTGTTTTTTTATTCACCGCGGCCATCGATTCACCAGTCTCGGAAAACATGAAAAGATAAAGGATGAATATGTGTCGGTGAATTTGAATGCACTGTGTTTTTTTTTTAAGGGAAAGGGGGAGTATTGTTTTCTATGTAGCTTTCGGGACTAGGCGGTCGGTTCCATACTTTTGAAGTGCGCTGTTTTACCCTGAGCCCAGAACGTATTGGAATAGCCTACGGTATGGCATGGCAGCATGAAACATTTGCAAAGAAAAGGGAGAAACTAAGCAGTATTTTTTTCCCTGGAAAAACTGCATTTTTCTTTCTGCAACTAACACGAAACAAATCGGACTGTAAAGGAATCTGTCGTGGAATCGACTATTGGATTATTATTTTTCTGTGGATAAAAAAACCCTGGATACTTTTGGAAGACCGAACTCGTGGATCGATGGTAAGTTACAAGAGTGTGTTCCTCGCGCTGGCCCCATTGGAGTTCCTTTGATGTTCTGTTGACTTTCTTTGAAGTAATATTGCTGTATGCAATTAACTTAGTTTGCTAGATACCGAACTCAAACAAGTATCATTCCGTGTATTGTGCGAATCTTTTTCGTTGTGATAAGTATTTGGGCAGTTTATATGAACTTTGATACGCTTTTTAGAGGACTATTCATCACGACATAAGTATTTGGAATTCCTCCCCCCATGAGATCTGAATACTTTTCTGTGTGGTTGGACGTTGGATAAAGCAATGTAGCCTATTTTACCCACTAAAGATACACGGGCGTTATGGAATTAGGTAGTTGCACATGTATATTCTTTCTGGTGCAGTCATATTTGAAAACCGCGATGTAGGCTAATGAGGATCTCGATTCGGCTGTCTTATTTCGTTGGCTGGAAGTGATCCGATATGTAGCGCTTTCGCCGCAAAGCAATTGTTACAAATTCGAAAGGTGATATATTGTTGCAGCCTCTGATGACTCGAGGCTTCAATGTAGCCGTTAGCAGCCATCGGTAGTCGGCTCCGCTTCCATGTCTATAGCCTGTTTCTCGTGGAACATAGCTTGTTAATCGGGGCCCTTTTAAAAAAACTAACAAAAAACAAACAATTTGTGGTTCATGATGTTGGTAGGCGGTTTCTCTGATTTCTATCATTTTGTATCTTGGTTAGCCTACTTCAAACGGCAAGTTCAGTTCTATATCAATGCTTTCCATCACGTTTTCAAAGCATGTCCTATAGCCTAGTTTAGTAGTCTGTCTCTTGAATATGTTTAGGGTTGTGTAGTCTATTCATTCTGACCGTTTCGCTGTTTTGTGACGCTTATGATAAGCAAATAGTGAGCAGAAAGTGGCTTGCACGCCTCGTTGTGGATTGGTGTCTGTTGGTTGGGTGGTCGTGTACTGGACATGTTGCTCGCTGCGGCGTATTCAGGATCAGATTGGGCTTGATGGCCAGCTAATTGTTGAGGTGTTCACGAGAACACAGGCTCACTAATATCGATCTCCGGTAGGCTATTGCGTACAAATGTCGCTCTTTTGTACTTTTGTTGTATTCCTTCTAGGCTACTTGGTGTTTCCGCCCAGCAGATGTTTGTGTGGTCTTGGGTTATTTTGGATTTATAATTTTCCTATGCAGTTAATGAAGTGGAGCGAGATGATGGGAACTCAAGCTCGTCAGAAGCATCACTCACTCTGTTGGCTGTTTTATGAGTTTATGCTAAACCGTGCGTGTGTGAACTTTTTGACCTGCCATGTTAATTTATGTTGATGATCACTTTCAACACCAACATTGGATATTTAGGATATGTCAAAGTGAGCACGCCAAATACAATCGGATGAGTCTGTATTTATGTAAATCTGCCGCACCATTCCTCTCTTTTTTTTCTCTCTCTCTCTCTCTCTCTCTGAAAGTCTGTAAAGGTTCTGAAAAGACTTCTACTGCATGTATGCCTTTGAAGTTTCCGGTGGATCTGAGTTTGATTAGATCAATACTTCTGTTTCAGAGAGAAGACGGGCAGAGAAGCTCCCCCGCTGACTAGAGAGAGTGAGGAGATTACTGTAGCGATCAGAGGAGGCAAACAACACACAGGCTTTCTGTTGCTGCTGCCTTCCGAGCCATGAGCAGAGCGCTTATACCGGACCATATCGCCAATAGCTTCCGAGAAGATGCTCCCCGTCCCCCGGTCCCGGGGGAGGAGGGCGAGGCGCTGCCGTGCTACCCCGGCAAACTCGCCATGATGAGACCCCAGGGTACCGCGGTCAAAGCGCTTTTGCTCGCGCCTCCCGGTTCCACTGCGAAGAGGAATGAGGATGGACTTGGTGAACCCGAGGGGAGCGCTTCACCGGATTCGCCGCTAGCCCGGTGGACCAAGTCGTTGCATTCTCTTCTTGGGGACCAAGATGGTGCTCATCTTTTTAGGACATTCCTGGAGCGCGAGAAATGCGTCGACACTTTAGACTTTTGGTTCGCCTGTAATGGTTTCAGGCAGATGGACCTCAAGGATACCAAAACGCTGCGAGTCGCCAAAGCTATTTACAAGCGCTATATTGACACCAGCAGCATAGTGGCCAAGCAGCTCAAGCCTGCGACCAAAACCTTCATTCGGGATAATATCAAGAAGCAACAGATTGATTCATCTATGTTCGACCAGGCACAGACTGAGATCCAGACCACCATGGAGGAGAGTGCCTACCAGATGTTCTTGACCTCGGACATTTACCTAGAGTATGTGAGGAGCGGGGGCGAGAACCCTGCTCATGTGAACCCTAACGGGCTAGGTAGCCTGAAGCTGGTGTGTGGGTACCTGCCCACCCTGAATGAGGAAGAGGAGTGGAGTTGTAATGATTTCAAAGCCAAAGCGCTGGCTTCTGTGGTTGGACTTTCTGCAAAGGCGCTGAGGGCAACAGTGTCTATGAGGATGGTGGAGGTGATGGAGAAGGGGTACAGGTAAGACACTGGTCCCTTCCTATTTCACATACTATAGCCAACTAGTAGGGGAATGTTGGGGAATGCAGTGACTAGCCTAGTGTGAGTGGTTCTTTATTGTAAGTCATGGATAATAACTAGGATATAACATCAAAAGAGCATATACTGTCTCAAAATAGACAGTTTCCAGATGCGTTTTCATCTCACCTTGCTTGTGTTAGCTTGTTGTGGGAGATGAGATACCTTACACACACACACTCTCCCCCTCTCGGTCTCTCTCTCTCTCTCTCTCTCTCTGAAGGATAAATGTTGTTCTCTAGACTCAGAGTGCAGCCCTCTGCTGGCGCGCAGCTCTGCTGGCTCGCCTCGGTTTCCGGAGCTTTGAAATAGTTCCGCAGATAGAGGGATCGTCTTCCACGGGAAGTTAACAGAGCACGTCTGGCCCTGGCCTCGGCCCCAGCCTGTCAGCCAATAATACATGATGCCACTGCTCTGCTATGCTGTGCCTCAGCCACACACTGCTTTGGCAATTTCTAAGGATAGGGAATACATCTCATTTTATCTCGAACATGACCAATAGTAGGCTAGTCATTCGAAATGTTCAGAGCCACTTCAGAGCAGTGGTTTGGTTTCACTTATCTGGAATTCATGGTCATATGTGTATTTATACATCTCAGATATCCAATGAGTGAAAAGGGAGTGGTGTTTTGCAGAGTGTAGACCACATAGCTACAGGTGAATGTTTATTCATATCATGCATACCTCAGTTGTATCCTTCCCTTACTGCTCCTATATAAACATAGATTGTATTTACCTTATCTTAATGGGAGTGAAATATGACAACTTACTAATGTGTTAATCCAACAAGCCATTGATTAGCTGGCCTGTATATGGATGAGGGTAGCAGTAGGACCTGAATCAGCTGATGATGCCCAACCCAAGGCCTGATGGTTGTCCTGAATCAATGGCCGTGGACTTGTCAGACGGACCAGTTAAGTTGAACATTTCTAAAGAGGGAGTCTATCAGGCTGTAGAGCCCCGGTGCCAGACTGGTGTTTGGCCTGCAGGGAGGGGAATTGGGCTACTTTTGAGTGGTTTTGGCTGGATTTAGGCTCTGATTGGCCTAGAAAGTGTCAATAGAATCTGGCAACACACTATAGGGGAGGGACCTTGAAGATCATGTGTTGACAACCGAGCCTGCCCCATAGGAGGATTAAGAAGGACATGGGTTCGTATCCCAGTGAGGCATCAGTTCAGACCGATCTCCAATATTCCATCACCTGGTTAGATGGTCTTGTTCTGGTTTTTAATCAGAATGACAGGGAGTCAGGGCCACCCCTCTACCTCCCTCTGTAGCTGCTTCCTCTCCCTGGCATGTGGAACTCATTTCTTCCTCCTCTTCTCCCTGAATCAGATTATTCACAAAAACCACAGAGCCACGACAGCAGACTCATTCTCTATTTTTCGCTGTTTTCTTATCTCTCGGTCTCTCTGTCCTGTGATTCTCCTCTGATTTCCCCCATTCTCCTTTTTACTCTCTCTTTCTTCCCCACTTATCTCTCCTTTTGAAAACGCTGGGATGTGGGGAACTAGGCGTACTTTAGAGGGAGAGAGAGTGGAAAGGAAGGCCAGAAAGGGGTTGTGGTGGGGACTGGGAAGGGGGGGGGGGGGGGGGGGGTCTCCTCATGAAAGAAAGCAAAAGAATGAATGAGGGGGTGAGAGAGGGAGGGAAATATGTGAGGCCAGCTGTGCTAAATACCTGAGTGTTTGCAAGCCCCTCTGAAGGTCAGGTTGGAGCTGGGGCCTATGGCTTTAGTCATGCTGGGCCCCTCTCTCTCTTCCTCTCTACCCCTCTCCAACTCTCTCTCTCTCTCTCCTGCCAGTGGGCTGCTCATAAACAAGAGGCCCTTCTCCCCCTTTACTCTCCTTTCTTTCCTTTCCCTACACACTCACGCTTCCTCTCTTTTTTCTTCCCCCTCTCTCTTCCCTGCCCTGGCTGTGAGCTCAGGTTCTCTCTCTCCCTCCCCTCCTCCTCTTCTCTCATTCCCCCATTTCTTATTTTCCTCTGCTGGGGCAAGAATGCATCACAGCAGGAGGAGATGGGCTATGAAGCAAGAGTAATTTTTTTGTTTAGTTTATTTCACTTTTGTTTATCTATTTCACTTGCTTTGGCAATGTAAACATATGCTCCCATGCCAATAAAGTGAGAGGGGGATTGGCCAGTTTTAAGGCCAGTATGACTATGGTAGTACTAGCAATGGGCTACAGCAGCCAAAGCCTCAAACGCAGGCCTCTTATAGGGTGTCCAGAGAGGGAAGTGTCCTGGTCGCCCTAGACGTTTACTTACTTACACACGCACACACAGCTGTGCCACTCTCCCCCCTGCTCCCTCACCCCAGGGGGAGGGGAGGAGGGGCATGAAGCCCCCCCCCCCCCCCAGAGAGAGACCCTGTCACATTCCTCAGGCCCTGTGTGTAGTGGAACTCAAGTCATTACTGTCTGAGACACACGCACACACTGGTGTTGTCACGATACCAGTATCGCCATACTAGGAATCAATATCAAACAACATGAAGCGGACTACATTTCTTGAGGAACACGGTCCTAATGTTGAAAAAACAGCCTTATGTTGTCACCGAGCTTCACGTTTGTTTTATTTGTGCAAGCTGTAGCACATCATATTTTACAAAAGTAGGTTTTAAAGGACCATAGATTTTAGTCTGCTTCATGTTTTCTTTTTTTGCCAAGGAAAATCTGGTATCGAGTATCACGATACTGGTAACGTGACAACACAAACACACACAAAAACACACACAAAAGGACTAGTTTCAAGTTTGGCAGCATAGGTCCCCAAATATCTACAACCCAGTTACACTTATTTCACAAGAAGATAAATGAACACCCTTAGCCCCGTTTTAAACATATGAAAGGTACTCTTGTGTATCTGATTTATTGCTACCCGAAACATGTATTTAAACTGCATTGTCCTGTGTGTGTGTAGGTCCCACAGGCGAGGGGACCCGGTCAACCCGTACCATGTGGGCTCGTTTGCCCCCGCCACCAGCACCAACGACAGCGAGGTGTCCAGCGACGCCATGACAGACGACTCCATGTCCATGACCGACAGCAGTGTGTAAGTAGAGGTTAACTCTTTAAAAAGTGTGTGTGTGTTTGCTGAGGGAAATGACTGAAGCCTCTCTGGTTTGGAGTATACTGATGGTTACTATTGTGGGAGAGTGTCATGGGAAGTAATGTTTGGAAACGTTCTGGGAAAGAGTTTTGATTAGCCTCTTAGCCGAACCTGAACATTGTTTGTGGTTTCCCTGACTTGTCCTTGTCTCTGTGGGGGCGAGAGGCACAACTGGTCATGGGAACCTTAACACTAACTCATGGAGACTATTCAAAGTGTATGGAAAGAGTTTTTGTTGCACAAACTGAGCCTGTCATCGGAAGCTAGCTCCTCTTTGATGGGGTTCTAAGGAGGTTCTCCGGTTCTAGGCCTCGGTACAGCTCACCTGGAACTCGCACTGTGTCAGGATTAGGGAACCCTCTTGTGACCCCGAATCCACACACACACACAGTCCTACTAGGGGATGAGAGAATAGGAGCCTGCCCTGCATGAAAGGAGCCCGGCTGTTCCTCCTGACACCTCAAAGGCCTGCTGGCCAGAGTAGAGCCAGACCAGGGACAGGAGAGCATCTAGACCTCATCCCCAGCCTAGCCTTGGCTCTAACCATTAGGCTACACCCCAGTCCAGCCCTCCTTAGGCCCTAGACCCCAGCCTTACAACACAGGCTCCAGCCCCATTCCCCAGTACAGTATGTTTGGAGTCTGTTTAGAGGAGAAGTGTTGCCATGGTGGGAGAGATGAGATGAAGTCTTAGTTGAGTCATGGCTGTAGTTTCTCCTCATGACACATGACCGTAATCAGAGACGCAAGAGAAAGCAATACATTTCATGAGCTCCTTTTCTCTGGTTCATATACAGTCAATGAACTAAGTAGACCAGACCCAGCTGCTAATGCATTAGTGCCTATGGGAGAGCCACCCCTTAAGTAGACTGGAACTGTGACCCTTTCTTTCAATGGTAAACAGCTTTTATGGGATATCTTCAATTATCACCCATCTTTGACAATAATGTCATCTTAGTCAGCTGTTTAGGATGACCTTGGGTCATTTGGTCTCATGACACACTTATGACCGGAATTGCTAACTGGCAAACCGTAGTCCCTGTGAATCACGACCTAGCTAAAGAATCCTGTATGGAATAGAAATAACTTTTATTTTACAGCCAAGGGAGTGGTTTAAAAGGTTTAGTAGAATATGGCAGCTATAAAGAGTTTATGATACGAGTCTGTAACTTTCTGACCGGTGTATCTATCCAGACGGGCCTAATCAAAGCACTGGTATAGAGCCTAGCCCTTGATAGTACAGGCCTAGTATCCTGCACGTACTTTGAGCCCGACGACAGAGACGAGAGCCTCCAAAGCCATACAAACGCTCTCCTCATTTAAGATTAGAATGTCTCTGTCTTTATTTTACATATACGTTTTAGTCATTTAGCAGACGCTCTTATCCAGAGTGGCTTACAGTTAGTGAGTGCATACATTTTCATACTGGCCCCCCGTGGGAAACGAACCCACAACCCTGGCATTGCAAGCGCCATGCTCTACCAAGTGAGTTACAGGGGACAGTGCTGCCCAGCCCTTTTATGATGGTTAAAAGGGCTGGGCAGCACGCCCAAAATTTAAATCTCATTTCTAGATAAAGAAAATAAAAGAGGGTGGGGGTTTGCTTATATCTTATTTATGGATTTGCTTGGAAGCTGGGGAATGCAGCTGCGCAGACTTCAAACATTACCTTATCTCACAAACCAGCCTTTTGATGTGGGGAGATCAGAGGCAGGCTTGCCAAATGAAGACTGGAGCAGTTCGAAGAGGGGAGGGGGCAAAGCCATGACTGTGGGATTTCAAAGCTTTGAAAGCAGCAGTGAGACAAGCGGCAGGCGGGTGCGCTACTCTCTCGGCTAGGCTAGGTCACTGAGACACTGCAGTTTATAGGGCAGGCTCGGCTGGCCCGGTAGAGAAACACTGGCTTTTTCTCTAGGTTGCTTGGTGTGAACGAAGTGCCTTAAGGCAATACTAGATCTGACAGAGTTGTATTTTGACTAGGTCAGCCATAGGCATGGTTAAGAGCTCTGTGTGGATTGGATTGGCTAGGCTTGATAGGCCCTATACTATGATTGCAGAATGTATATGGAGGGTGATCTGAGAGGAGAGATTTGACTGATGTTTTATTAGCCTACATGTTATGATAATTTCCCCCCTGTAGGACTGACACTTTGATCAGTGGGTTTGTGTGTGCACGTTCCAAACAGTATAGTTTGCTTCTAGACTAGTCATTTCAGTGTAATTCCAGGGCAAGTCAATGGCAGGATGCTAATGCTAACTTTGTGTGTACTGCTGGTGATTAATGCTAACAGCTAAAGCCTGGCACAGCGCTATGAGAGGGCTGAGTGATCCTTTCTGGGCTCAGTTAAAAGGAAGTGCAGGGGTGTGTGGTGAAGTGCCCACTGCTCAGGGAGCCATGGCTGGAGATGAGTGTCAGTTTTAGGGCAGATGAAATCCCCTACTCTGTCAGAAACACAGACCTGAGCCCTAGCAGAAACCCTATCCAATGTTCACCTCTTGCTCACTACACCTCAGATTCAGAATTGACCTGAAATATATTGTAATTTTTTATCTGGGTTAAATAGGGGGTGATTGAATAGCTATTAGGTGTCCAATGAGCTGCTTCCTGGTTGGGTGTGTGTTGCTGTGTCTGATTGATTGGCTGTTTGACCTATGTATCCTGTGTGTTTCCCTGACAGAGATGGCATCCCTCCCTACAAGCTGGGCTCCAAGAAGCACCTGCAGAGAGAGATGCAGCGCAACATGAGGATGAACAGCCAAGTCTCCCTACCTGCCTTCCCTGTAAGTATACACACACACACAGCCAATGTCCCACTTATTAGTGCTTTTCAGTAGTGCAACATCCATTTCCATGGGCTATTCAGGTCTGCTCTTCTATGTATAGTACCACCAACTCTATTCCACTTCTTCCATTGACAACAACAAAGATCTGAGAGCAAAGCAGAAGTCCAAGTTCAACCCCCCACACACCACCCCTCGCTAACTTTGGTGTAACCCACACCCCTGTTGGGTTCCTTGAAGTCTGCAGGAGACTGTTTCTAAGCTGTTTATCCGGTGCATTCTAAAGACCCAGTCTCTTCTCTTCACACACTGATGATGCAAATATACACAGAATGGAGAGATGGGGGAGATCTCCCTCTCTCTCTCCCTCTCGCGGCTTTATCTGGAGGCTCTAGAATCAACCGCTGCTCCTCCACAAACACAAACACACACACACACACACACACACACACAGCGCTTTGATCAGAGGATGAATGGAGCAAGCGCAGAGGAAAGTGACAACTTCCAACAGCGCTTGTCCCCCTTTTTTCCCTCCACAACACCCCCCCCCCTCCCTCGTTCAGCCTGCACCCCTCTCCCCTAAAACGAGGGAACTGAGGGAAGAGTTGGAGTGTGTCATGTGAGGGTCAGGGGGGAGTTGGTAACTGACTGGCTTTGGAAAGGCCAAAAGAAAGGAAAGAAGAGAGTTGGAGAGGGGAGACATGGGAAAATGAGTTTTGGGATGGCCGAACTAGCAACATCAGTAGCTAGTTGAATCAGAATTTGTGACCCCCTTTTCTTCTCCACCCAATTGTATGCTTTCTTAAGAGAGTCCGAGATGGAAGCTTCTCTCTCCTTCTCTTTGTGCTCTTTCACACTCCCTTTCTCTCTCTCCTTCTTTCTTCTTCTTGTTTTTGTTTCCCCTCTGATTGGGTGATAGCTGCCATTCCCAAGATGCAGCAGGAGCCTCAGGACGCATGGGCCGGGCAGACAGACTGTCTCTCTCTCTGTCTTTCTTCTCTCCCTTCATCTCTACTACAAAGAGATGGGAGGAACATAAAGAGAGGAAGAGAAGAAGAAATCCCCAGTGCAAAAATGACAATGATAAAATAACAGACACACATAAGAGGAATATTGACTCTACTGTACCTCAGAGGTGCCCAGCATGCAACAGGGAAATAAATGACCCCTGCTCCTCTCTGATTTCCCTCCATCCCTCTCTCCCTCCCCTGCTGCCTGCACACATCTCCCCATCTTCTCCTCCTTTTAATCCTCCCTTTCCTTCTCCTTCTTCTTCCCCCCTGTCGATATGTGACTTTTATTCCTAGATGTAAAGCCACTGCCCCCCACCCCCCTTCTCCCTCCCTCCCCCTAGTGAGTGTTTGATATTTGACGAGGGCCCTTTGAAGTGTACAGACTTCAGAGGGGAAGCGCTGATGGCTTGGTTGCACTACAGAGGGAAGACGCAGAGAGCCCAGGCTCCAAGGAGTGTGACCAACTGCCACCACACACCCAAGGCCCAGGGGCGGGCACTGCCAGGGGTGGAGGGGGCACGGGGGCAAGGATGGGATGGCTAGTGGGGAGGGAGAGGGCTCAGGTGGAAGACAGACACCGACCCCTCCTTTAACTGTGTTACAGCTCTTGTCTTATCTCTCTCTCTCCGTCTCTCTCCTTCCCGCTCTCCCTCCGTAGCGGACGCGGAGATGTCCTAAGGAGATGACTCCGGTGGAGCCGGCAGCGTTTGCTTCTCAGCTCATCTCTCGTCTGGAGCGGCTGAAGAGAGAGCAGGAGACCATGAGCTCCCTGGAGGAGAGGCTGCAGCAGATACAAGAGGTGTGTGTCTGTGTGGATGAACTAGTAGTTGGCTTTATAGATGTGGGAATCCTTATCTGAAAGAGGTCTATGGCAATGTTCTAATTGTTTCCTTAAATAAAGGTTTTAAAAAAAAAGGTGTGTAATTCAATGCCGTTCTTCTTCCCTGACCATGTTTGTCATTGAGATCTCTGCTAACCTAACCGTTCTGTTCTCGCTGTGTGTAGGAGGAGGAGAGGGACGAGGCCGAGGTTCCCGGCAGTAGTGCCCCCCTGCTCTCCCCCCACCCCCTGTCCCTCCTGCCCACCGGCCCCAACGATGAGGACCCCCAGGCCATTCTGGACGACCACCTGTCCCGCGTCCTAAAGACCCCTGGCTGCCAGTCCCCCACCACCGTGGCCCGCCACTCGCCCCGCTCCCGCTCTCCAGAGCACAGGACTCTTTCCCGTGGAGGCCCTGGTCTCAAGCCCCTGGTCTCACCTGGGGCCTCCAGTGGCTCCTCCAGCTTAGGGGGCTTCTCGGTAGGTTTCACCCCAGGAAGGGCCCTCGCCCTGGGCAGACCCAGCAGCAGCACCAAGCACATCCACCACCACTACATCCACCACCACGCCGGTTCCAAGAGCAAGGAGCAGATCGAGAGAGACGCGGCCCAGAGGGTGTTGTGTCTGTGCCCCGTGCGGTCTGAAGGGGCGGAGGTGGGTCCCCCGTACCCACGCAGTCGCAGCCTGGGCAGGGAGATGGAGTCATGTGGCAGAGTAGAGTCCAACATGGGACGCTCCAGTTCCCTGTCTCGAGGGGGTTGTCGGTCAGGGGCTGAGGAGGAGGCAGCAGAGGGGGGTGAGGTCGTGCCCCTCCAGCTACCCAGCGACAGTACAGACCGCTCCCAGAACGTGTGGCAGTGGATCCTGGAGAGTGACCAGCAGGGCAAGCACCACAAACCCCACAGGTAGGGCAGTCTCTCCACTTCCTGTTGTAGTCCTCTCCCAATGCCTCAGAACTACATTTCCCATCACTTGTTTTCCTTTCACTGCAACTTACTTATTGTAGTCCTCTCAGTACATTTAAACTAAATTCTCATCACTTCGTTTCACAATCACATCCCATAGTCATTTACGTACATGCAAAGTACGTTTCACACCATTCCCCACAATTGGCCCCTCCCACTTCCTTCCATTCTCCATGCTGATTGGCTGTTTTTGTCTTTGCCCCACAGTACCCAGAGCACTAAGAAGGCGTATGGTGGCGGAGCGGCGTCCAACCAGACACACACGTGGGGCGGCGGGGGCGCCAGCGCCCATCTCCGTGCCCACAAGCCCGCCCACCCCTTCATCCAGGACCCGGCCATGCCCCCACTGCCCCCGCCCAACACCCTGTCCCAGCTGGAGGAGGCCTGCCGCAGACTAGAGGAGGCCTCCGTCTCCAAACCCCCCAAGCAGAGGTACGAGCCGCACCCCCCACCCCCCCGGACACACACTACAATGAAGATGTTGAAACTTTCACTAAAACGTTGGTGATAGTTTTCCCTGTAGACAGTGGAGTGCTAAGCTGTCTGTGTGTCCCTGTGTGTGCATATTGACACTCCCATGCATTGATCAGTTGTTTTACTATACCATTGTGATTCCTACTGTGTTGAAACCTGTCTGTGGTTAGATGGTATATGTGTGATGCAAGAGACGGTACCACCACATTGTACTGTAATAACATTCTTCTATTGTTTTCTGTTCTTCCCCACCAGACACTCTACATCCAGTCTCCAGAGAGAGAAGAGCCACCCTGTGCCTGTCCAGAGTGGGCCCTGTCCAGCCTCATCCCCCCCTGGTCCCTGTCCAGTACCGTCCCCCCTCAGCCCTGCACTCACCCCTGGTCCCTGTCCAGTACTGTCCCCCCTCAGCCCTGCACTCACCCCTGGTCCCTGTCCAGTACTGTCCCCCCTCAGCCCTGCACTCACCCCTGGTCCCTGTCCAGTACCGTCCCCCCTCAGCCCTGCACTCACCCCTGGTCCCTGTCCAGTACCGTCCCCCCTCAGCCCTGCACTCACCCCTGGACCCGGCCCTGATGCTTCTCTCCAAACAGAAGAGTACGCATCTCCTCTCTCTGCTCCTCCTCTTCATCTCCTCTCCTTTCTCTCCTCCTCCTCCTCTCTTTCCTCCTCCTCTCCTCCCTCTGTTCCTCCTCCTCCTCTCCTCTCTCTGCTCCTCCTCCTCTACTCCTCCTCCTCCTCTCCTCTCTCTGCTCCTTCTCCTCCTCTGTTCCTCCTCCTCCTCCTCTCCTCTCTCTACTCCTCCTCTCCTCTCTGTTCCTCCTCTCCTCTCTCTACTCCTCCTCCTCTCCCTGCTCCTCCTCCCCTCTCTCTACTCCTCCTCTCCTCTCTGTTCCTCATCCTCTCCTCTCTCTACTCCTTCTCCTCCTCTCCTCTCTCTGCTCCTCCTCCTCCTCCAGTGTTCTTCATCGTTTTCTAACTCGTAATACTACTCCTCTGTGCTCTAACATGATATTATATGTGTAGGAGGGAGGGAGGAAGATATGCATGTCACACACACATGTGAAGTTCCAGCCTTGTCTGCTTCTTTTTCTTTCCCGCCTCCCTGATCTCTCTTTGTGTGTGTGTGTGTGTGTGCAGCGTGCATGTGTGTTGTAGTCCTTGCCCCCTGACTGCAGAGCCTTCTTTCATGGTGCTGAATTGACTGACCTTCAGAGAGCAGCACTAGAACTGAACAGGCCCTAGTTAGCCTCCCTCCCTCTGATGTAATGCTACAAAGCCTTGGACATGGCTGAGGGGGAGAGGAGAGCACACACACACACACACACACACACACACACACACCCTCCTGTGACTTGAGTAACATCGGGTGTGTGTTACACTGTGTCGTTCACTCCCCTCTCTCTCTCCTCTTTCTAGACAGATGTTCTCTACTCTCTAGATCATATACCAGCCTTTGCTCCTGCCCTGGTCCCCTTCCAGCTACTACCCACCAAGCATGCTTTTTAATAATAATTGTATATAGGGGAAAGTAAGTGTGTTCACACCTCTCTCCTCTCTCTCTCCCCCTCAGACTGAGAGAGAGCAACAGGGTTCAGCAGCAGCAGGTGGCAACAGGCTGCCATGTTGCTCCAGCCATGGGTAGTGAGACAGAGGTAACCTACTTCTTCTGTGGTGAGGAGATCCCCTACCGTAGGAGGATGAAGACCCACAGCCTCACACTGGGACACTTTAAAGAACAGCTCCGCAAGAAGGGACACTACAGGTATGGAGACAGGCTATTATGGACACACACACATTAATGCACGCACACACACACACACATATACACAGTCTGACAATCTCACACACTAGGTCACTATTATGATCAGCTTGGTAAGAAGGGGGCACCCAAAAAGTGTCTTCATAGCTCTCCTCCCTAGCTGGTAGGGTCATTAGAAACTCTATCACAACTCTATTCTGTTGGGCTGAATGCTCACATTGTCTTCATACTCTGTGTGTGTTGTGTGCAAAGATATGCCTGAGTTTGTGGTTAAAATGAAGGAAGAGGAGTGAATGAGAGACGGGGGGGTTTGCAGGAAAGAAGAGAGGGAGGGAGAGAATTTGAAGTGGGGAGTGTTTTGGGTCCCATCTGGTATTGATTTCCATGGCAAGGCACACTTAATACGCACGCCTTTGAACCCGGCCCCTTTCATTTCAACCAACAAAGACTCACACAAATGGCCAGCCTTGCAAATTCCTCACCGATGCTATCAGGCAGCCTGCCTTAAAGACACACACACACTGAAGTACACACACACACACATAGAATAACACGCACTGAAGCGCATCGGCATCATTTTCTGGGATATTTATTAGTCATATTTCATGCGTAGTTTGTTTGAATGTATAACTGTAAGTCGCTCTGGATAAGAGCGTCTGCTAAATGACGTAAATGAATGGCACATCGTTAAATGTCGGCCAAGCTTGTTTGGGATACTACGGGCTTGGTCACTATTAGAGGTATCTCCAACAGTTTAGATGATAACTCTGTTGTTCCAATGTGCTCTGGATTACAAGAATGGTATCAAGAGTCAAGCATTGGTTCATAACTAGTACAGAATGATGGTTTGTAGAGATATGATGGTAATGCATCACGTATTCAGTTTCTCTTTTAGGCCATGGAGCAAGGGAACACTCTAGGGCTGTAGCTCGGGTCCAGAGTTTTTCCTGGTCAGGTCACGTGGAACCTAGGTCTTAGGCGTGAAAAGCATGGATGCATAGTGTACATTCACTCTCTCTCTTGTCTATGTAGTTGATTATCTTGTTTCTCTCTCAAACCATTCACATTGTTAGAGGGGGATTCAAAGCTTATGGTTTTAATAGCAGTAGCAGGGAGAAGGAGGGGGGGGGAGAGAGAATGTGTGGAGTTGGGTCATTTGAACATGGCTTGCGTTCAACAAAGAACAGTATGGCCCAGCCCTGCCAGACAATATTGCTGCCAGATGTTGCACACTGAAAACTCTCTGCCACATAAAACATGTTCCAATGGAAATACTTATTTCTCTCGCGCTCTCTCTCTCGTTCTCTCTATCTCTCTCTCCATTTCTCTCTCTCGTTCCCTCTTTGAGCAAATAAGATCTGTGCTCCTTTGAAGTTTTTTGGAGAAGGATAGAGCCCCTTCTCCCTCCCTCCCTTCTCAGAAATAAGGCTCCAATTATCTGGCTGTCTTAGTTTCTCTTTCATGTCCTCTTATTTACCCAGTTCATACTTGGCTCGCCAGAGAACAATTGATTATTTCCCCAGTCAGAGTATTATTATTTTTCTGATTTAATAGAAGCTGTATGTGAGACCCCGTTGCACCCCCGTTTAGTGAAGTCTTCCTGTGTTTCAAATGGAGACTGGTTTTTATTAGTGAACACCCTTTTCTGTATGTGTTTGCGAAAAGTTTTAAAAAAATATATACTTTCCCCAAATCTTTATGACTTTGTCAGCCCCTCTTGTAAAACACTAGCTTTAGGAATTCCAAGGCGCAGAACGTGCACCACCCCACACAAAATGAGGCATTTTTCCATTACAGAGTTAATGGCTGAGGTATACAGCACTTACCCTTCCTCCCCTGCTGGTTCTTCTTCCTCTAAAATGAAGGAAGGTAGTTTTTGGGGGGGGGGGTAGAGGTGGTCATTAACAGGGCCAGTGTAGTCATCATGGCTGATGGGAAGAGGCGAGGACCCCCTCAGGTGGTTGGCCGCTTAGTTCAGATGGCCCCCCCCAAAGACCCCTCCCTGGCTGTCTGACCGGGACCCTTCCTTGGACAGCTTCCTATATAGCTCACACAGAGGGAAGGGCAGAGAACATGGTGTGTGTGTTTGACTGTGCACTAATGTGCGTTTGGAGTCAGGGTTTATAACAGGCAGACTTGCAGGCACCCAAAATCTCAGCCTTCTTTAAATTAAGGGGTATTTTTACTGAGGGCCTAATGATAACCAGTTAGTCAGAAGCTGGAGTAGCTCAGTACCAGGGCAGGACTGAGGAAATTAGAGGAAATTGGTGGATTTTGAATTGGTCCAGATCCTCTTATATCCAATAAGCCCCTGTAGGACCAGAGACTATCAAAGACCACCCCTATAATACAGATGCCATTGGTTCAGTCTGAGGGTTAGTTGAGCGTGAAGTGGTGTTGGTGCATGGTAGATCACAGGAGTTTCTCTCCTCCCCTCAGAGTCCAAAGGGCTGGGGGGAGGCTAGCTCTTGACCTCTGACCTCAGTGGCCGTCTTCTCTGGCCCCTTGCACAATGGCTCCTTTAGCTGGGGTAGGAGAAGTAGGGCTTAATGAAGGAAAAGAGACGCGCGCACACGCAGAATCTAAATGATAATGTTAAACCAGATCATATTGAATCCACATTACATTATCTTCATTATGTGTCTTGCTGAATATACGGTGCATTCGGAAAGTCTTCAGACCCCTTCCCTTTTTCAGTTACAGCCTTTTCTAAAATGGATTAAATAAATAAAAATTCACATCAATCTACACACAATACCCCATAATGACAAAGCAAAAACAGGTTGTTAGAAATTTCTGCAAATGTATTAAAAATAAAAAACAGATTTGCATAAGTATTCAGACCCTTTGCTATGAGACTCAAAATTGAGCTCAGGTGCATCCTGTTTCCATTGATCATCCTTGAGATGTTTCTACAACTTGTTTGGAGTCCACCTGTGGTAAATTCAATTGATTGGACATGATTTGGAAGGCACACACCTGTCTATAGGTCCCACAGTCTGACACAGTTCATGTCAGAGCAAAAACCAAGCCATGAGGTCGAAGGAATTGTCCGTAGAGCTCCGAGACAGGATAGTGTTGAGGCACAGATCTGGGGAAGGGTACCAAAACATTCCTGCAGCATTGAAGGTCCCCAAGAACACAGTGGGCTCCATTGTTCTTAAATGGAAGACGTTTGGAATCACCAAGACTCTTCTTAGAACTGGCCTCCCGGCCAAACTGAGCAATCGGGAGAGAAGGGCCTTGTTCAGGGAGGTGACCAAGAACCCGATGGTCACTCTGACAGAGCTCCAGAGTTCCTCTGTGGAGATGGGAGAACCTTCCAAAAGGACAACAATCTCTGCAGCACTCCACCAATCAGGCCTTTATGGTAGTGGCCAGACGGAAGCCACGTCTGGAGGAAACCTGGCACCATCCCTGCGGTGAAGTATGGTGGCGGCAGCATCATGCTGCGGGGATGTTTTTCAGCGGCAGGGACTGGGAGACTAGTCAGGATCGAGGGAAAGATGAACGAAGCAAAGTACAGAGAGATCCTTGATGAAAACCTGCTCCAGAGCGCTCAGTACCTCAGACTGGGGCGAAGGTTCACCTTCCAACAGGACAACGACCCTAAGCACACAGCCAAGACAACGCAGGGATATACCTTCGGGACAAATCTGAATGTCCTTGAGTGGCCCAGCCAGAGCCCGGACTTGAACCCGATCGAACATCTCTGGAGAGACCTGAAAATAGCTGTGCAGCAACACTCCCCATCCAACCTGACAGAGCTTGAGAGGATCTGCAGAGAAGAATGGGAGAAACCCCCCAAATACAGGTGTGCCAAGCTTGTAGCGTCATACCCACGAAGACTCGAGGCTGTAATCGCTGCCAAAGGTGCTTTAACAAAGTACTGAGTAAAGGGTCTGAATACTTATGTAAATGTCATATTTCAGTTTTTTTTTTATATATACATTTGCAACATTTTCAAAACCTGTTTTTGCTTTGTCATTATGGGGTATTGTGTGTAGATTGATGAGGGGGGAAAACTATTTAATAAATTTTAGAATAAGGCTGTAATGTAACAAAGTGGGGGGGATGCTGTACCGTGTATGTGTTGGATACCATACTGTTCAATAGTACTGTTCCATGTAATCCAGATCTTCTATGGTCTGGTTGTGTTGGCTGTACTGTACAGATGGTTGACCTGTTGTCACTAACCCCCTATCTCCCCTCCTCTGTTACAGGTACTACTTCAAGAGGGTCAGTGATGAGTTTAAGTGTGGAGCCGTGTTCGAGGAGGTGTGCGACGACAGCTCTGTTCTGCCCAGGTACCAAGGGAAGATCTTGGGCAAGGTGGAGAGGATGGACTGATACCCCTCCAGAACTACCAGAGGAATATATAACAGAAACACACTTTATGAACAACTCTCACACACAAACACACTCCATGGACACCTCACACCCCTGTTCCACCGGATAGTCTTTAAGCTAAGAACTGATGACTGGAGATTCTAGTGAATATGCTTGGCCAGTGAAGCATGGAGGGATGGAGAGAAGAGAGTAGAGGAGTAGCCATCAACAGTCACCATTACAGGACTAGTTAACAAAAACATCTAGTCTTGGAGAAGAAAGAGGAGAAAATGGTGGACTTGGGGATGGGTTTGGATGGGTTACTCTGTAACCATGGTTATGGGTGATGGGTTCCAGAAACGATACGTGAATTGAATGACCACTGTCTGAGGGAGAAGGCGGGGACCGCTGATACCTGAGAGGCTGCTAGAGGTGAAAGTTGGGACTGGTGCCCTATCTGAGCCTATCTCTACCAACAACCCTAGATGTATATGCAGATGGACGTATATAATGATTTGTTGATAAATTTAAAGAGTTTATTCATTATTTATTGAAATGTCACTCCCCCTCCCCATAGTCCTGTGGATGGACAAGCTGCTTGGAGAATTGGGAGATGTCGTCTCCAATGTTTCAAATGCAAAGTATTTCGAGTTTTCCCTCCCCTTTCCTGCCATGGCAACTAATCCTGTGGCAGAGGTCTCTGTTCTGATCAATCAGTGACTTCCTGTATATGGCGTAGCACAGGTACCACAGCCTTGTAGTCTGTCATGTCTCAGTGCCTTTGTTTTGTTGCACAGGCTTTGCATAGGGAAAGAGCCCACACTTAGGACAACATTAGCCTCGAACTGGCCCAGAGCCCCAAAATACCCCAAATTGCAGAAAACATGCTTACACAGGTTTACACCGGACATAGACAAGCCCACCAAATGAATCTATACCAACAAAGCTCAAGTTGTTTTGTGTCCAGGCTTCTGCGCAGAACGACAGATCTGGGGTGTATTCATTAGGACGAACGGAAGAAAACTGACTGAAACAGGGAGCGACTACCTTTCCTGGATCTATCCAATAAGAAACACAGATTTTTAATTTTGTTTAGAAAAACTGGTTTTGATATGTGTCCTATTGAATATGACCATGTCTGCCTTCGGGAGACTAGTCGTCGTCGTCGTCCCCCCCCCCCCCCCTCAAAAAAAATGTTTTGTCACCCGCAAATGTTAGTGGTATTTACGCCTCTGATTGTGTCGAATTGACCAGAGTCTCCTGTGTGTCTTGTTAACCCTGCGTTGCCAGAGGAAGAGGTTATGATGCTAACACACACTACGATGATGCGTCTCAAATGGCACCCTATTCCCTATATAGTGCACTGCTTTTGACCAGGGCCCATAAGAGAGCACTATGTAGAGAATAGGGTGCCATTTGAGAGGAAGTCGTAGTGTTTTACTGAGTACAGTAGCTGTGCCTACATGGATCCCTTTACCGTGTTACTACTCTGTTGTTAGGGTAAGATACTCCCTTGGTTTTCACAAGGGGCTTATGTTCAAAAGATTTTATAATTATGCCTTTTTAGTATCTCCTTGTAATCATGTTTGTTTTATACTTTTTTCATGTCTTTTTGTTTTTGTTCCACCTGTATTAAAACTGTAAATTATGCATTCTATTCTATAGAGCTCCATTGGAAAGATGCCTCGGTACTTTAATTAATGTAATTATTATTATAAAGAGATGTAGCCTTTATTAAAATTTTATATTTTTCAAATGAAATGAGAATGCTCTACTCTGCTTTTTTTGAGTGTATGTGATGGGATGGGATCGTGTGTGTGAGATGAAATTTCCCTTGTCCCCATGAGGACAACAGCTATTTTAAGCTTAACGGTTAGGTACAGGGTTACAATTAGGGTTAGGGTAAGGTTTAGGGGTTAAGGAAAATAAGATTTTGAATTGAAATACATTTTAGATCCCCATAAGGATAGAAAAACAAGTGTGTGTGTGTGTGTTTGCGCTGAGCGATTAACAGAAATGTTGGTTCTTTTTTGTTTTTTAAACAATAAATTGACCGAAGTTGGTTCAATATTTTTTTATTCAATTTAGTTTTTTCTGTGAGCTCATTGTGTACATTTCCCTGCAGTTTCTCTAGAGAACTCAGATCATGCCTGAACTGTGCGGTGTAGTAGGGAGTTGTAGTTTCCAACAGGCCAATGTTCTACATAGTTTAGCACAGAAAACGTGATCATTAACTACAATGACCATAATCCATTGTGGGCCTACTTGTCTGGTCTGTTTCTTTTACGCCTGCTACATAAGAGACTGAAGAATGCGTGATAAAGAGGGATGCATAGAGAGCCATGATGACCGTCATCACATTGCACATCTGACATACCCATCAGCTAGGATGGCAGGCTTGTGTTACTAGAGGATGATCACCACTTCCTCAACACACACTCCGTTCTCCTTCTCCCTATGCATTCATTGGCTGAGAGCATTCCTTATACCGCCGCCTTTCAAATTGAAAGGGCATCACAATCTTGTTAAAATACCATTTTCACCGCTTTCATCCGCAAAGGTCACTTAATACACTTAAAGGCCTTTTACCGTCTTCACAGGCAAGCTGCTGTATTCAGAGAGGCTCTATGGAGTCAAGACTCAGTGAACTGCTCTTTGTATGAAAGGCTATTTTGGATAGGGTCATCCTTTAAAAAGGCTGGACTAAGCTAGGTAACCTCCAAATAGCTTTTCAAAACTGTGGCTACTTTGGAATTCAGTAGCTATTCAATATGGAGGGCAGCTGGCATATTGAAGCATTGGAACTTGCTGTGGGAAGTTCTATGGAGCACATTGGAGGATAGTTGGTGTGATGGTGTTTTTCTTTCAAGCATAGGACATGCATGCTTCATTCGATAACCCAACACCCAAATCTGTTCAATCAGAAGGTCATATAGCCATTTGAACCAGATCATCATCCTCCTCTTCCTCCTCCTCCTCCTCCTCGTCCATCTCCTCCTCTTCCTCCTTCTCTTCTTCTTCCTCATCCTCCTCCTCCTCAATCTCTTCCATCTCCTCTTCCTCCTAAATCTCCATCTCCTCCTCATCCTCCTCCTCCTCCTCCTCCATCTCTTCCATTTCCTCCTCCTCCTCATCCTCCTCATCCTCTTCCTCTTCCTCATCTCATCATCATCCATCTAATCAAGACATTTGTTTGCATTTACAATCTTCCCTTACATTCTCCCATACTGTGCTTGATTCCCTGTCCATGGGAATGAATAGTGACAGTGATCATTATCACTGGGTGTTTCTCACTAATACACATTCATAATGACTTGGCCAGCCTTTGTGCCAATCTGATGTCCCTGTGTATCCTGAGCCCTGACTGTCTACATCTCTCTCTCTCTCTCCTCTCTCTCTCTCTCTCTCTCTGTTGTTATTCCTCCACAGATACCCAGCATCTGTTCCTTGTGTTGCCTGTCACAGGAGAGATCAAAGACTGTCGGCAAGACAACAGTACTAAACAGGAAGTGAAGCCTCGATAACAGAAATTGCCTGTGATTGTATTGTATTGTCATCATAGAGACAAACGGGCTGCCTAAAAACACGCCACTTCAATACAGCTACGACCGGAAGTGACTTTCTGTAGCAGGTTAGGAGTGTATTTTCGATAACGCTTTTCCTAACCTTAACCTAATTTTCCTAACCTGCTACGTTAATTCTCCTAACCTGCTACGTTAGTTCTCCTAACCTGCTACGAAAAAGTGACTTCTGGTCGTAGCTGTATCTAAGTGGCGTGTTTTTAGGGAATCTCAGACAAACAGCGTTTCAACAGTGAAGGTCTTCATCAGGTGGTCCATACAGAACAGCAGAGAAAGCACATCGCAAAGTTCAACACAATATTACAAAGCACAACACAGTAGAACACAGCCAAGCCCAGTAGTGAGAAACAGTTCTGCTCACTGTATGTCATCACCAACCTCAAACACCTTCTCTCCCCAACCAACCCCATCCTCCTTCCACCATCCCCCACCTTGCCTCAGACGGATGTGAGGGAGCGAGACCACCTATTTGGCTCTTGAACCCCCCCATTTTGTGTCTGCCTGAGTTGTGCTCTCAGAGCTCTGAGTCTGCAGATCGGCGCTCCACTCAGGCATCTCCCCAGACGACCGTGGGACTGTGGTCAGGACCCCGGGCCTGGTCTGGACCCCTGCCAAGCATCGCTGTGGTAACAGAACCCTGGCATGTGACCAATCACATGACTAGGTACTTACTCTCTGGTCTTCTGATGCAACACATTCACCACACACACACACACACACACACACACACACACACACGCACACACACACACACACACACACACTCCCTCATGAATGACGGCTGCTAGAGCCAGAGGAGCAGAAAGCTATCAATCAAAAACAGTTTAGGGTTTAGGCTTATTATTTCAGACCGACATGCAGAGGACTCTTCAATTTTAGTCTTACTGTTCAACTGACTGAGTGGAACAAAAACATCACATAGATATCCAGATGAAAGTAGAGTGACCTCATGCAGAATCCCAATAGAAGCGCCTATCTATAGGCATACATCTATGACTTAGGGAAACAGACATAATATAGCTGTGACACTCTGGCTCCATAGACTTTGATTTTGAGCCAGGGTTGTTCAGTTTTCTTTTGGGTGTATTTCATTTGGTGGTGTTGGGTAAGGGTGAGTTTCATTTGTTTGTGGTTTTGGTAATTTGGTTAATGACTCCCAATCGGAGGTAACGAGTGTCAGCTGTCGGCTCGTTATCTCTGATTGGGAGCCATATATATTCTGTGTGTTTTCACCTTGTGTTTGTGGGTTATTGTTTCTTTGTTGCTGTTAGTAGTATTCAGTATAGAACTTCACGGATCGTCATTTGTTGTTTTCTTCGTGGTTGCTTTAAGTTAATAAAGTCATCATGTTCACTCGCAACGCTGCGCATTGGTCTCCTCCTTCAGACGATCGTGACAGAATAACCCACCACAAGAGGACCAAGCGGCGTAACAAGCGGC